CAGGGGAGGGCGGGCGTGGAGCTGCTCAGTTTGCAGTGCTGGTAGTGCCTGGAGCATGTCCACTGGGTGCTCCATAACATTTAAGAGCTGCTCCGTGGCTTCCTCTGTGTTCTCCTTTCAGTACCTCCTCTCGCTGTCCCATCGCTCCTTCAATTCTTGTTTTTCAGTCACGGAGTGCATCATAACATCACACAGAAAGTGCTCCTTAGTTCTTCTTGGCCGCTTTCTAATTCTGTGCAGCTGTTCAGCCACCGATAACAAAGAGGGAGGCTGCGCTCCCAAGGTCATACCAGTGAAGGTCAAAATGCAACAATTTACAGAAGCAGTGTTGTTTGCAACACAGAGACCACTAATTTAAAACACATCCACTATTCACGTACCTGTTACTAACTGGCTCACCCCATGCAAGCACACATGAGCCAAAAGACCCCTAAAATGGTAACCACAGGGGCAGGGGAAATCAGTGTTCCAGGACCGTACTGTACATTGAGCACATGGCTCTTGGGGAGAGCCAGCACTGTAGGGGGAGCATTATAATCTTTGTAGTCCTCTTTGCATTGTGCTCTTTGTAGTCCTGTCCTCACATTTTCCACAGACTATGTTCATTATGGAAGATAGCTCACTGCTGAGGGAGAGCAGGGAATGTCTTCTCCAGGACTACAGCTTCCACCCTGGCTCTTATGGGGCTCGCCCATTTGCAGCAATGGTCCTGCCCATCCCCCCCAGTGACGGCAGAGTGGTGTGGGAAAGTTACCCTTAATTGCTCAAGAAACAAAGCAGCTCTGCCAAAGAACCTGCGGCAGCAGATTGCCTAGTATCTCCATGAGAGTTTCCTGGAGATCTCTGAGGCAGATTCCCATGAAGTGAGGGAGTCAATCAACACCCTGTTCCACCGCTCAGACTAGGCATGTGGTGGTAGGCGCATCATACAGACACAAGCCTGCTTTCTGCAGCCCTCCTGCCCCCAACAACTTGCTTCATCGATTCCCAAAATCAAAGCCAGGGGCCTCCTCTCCTGTTTACATTTCACCAAGATCCGACAGCTGTGACTGGCTAGCCTCCTCCATGGTAGAGAAGAGCTCCTGGCTGCATGCATCTCTGACCTCTGAGTCATCCTCTGCCTCATCCTCTGCCTCTGGGTTCCCCTCCCGCTCCACATCCTCATCCAAGATTTCCTCCTCCTAGCTCGGTCCACTCTCGACTGGCATGCAAGCTAACGAAGTATCCACATTGCCTTTGCAGTGGAGGTGGGGTCACCACCTAGTATCACGTCCAGCTCTTTGTAGAACTGGCAGCTCGTGGGTGCAGCACCAGAGTGGCAGTTTGCCTCCCGTGCCTTGTGGTAGACGTTCTGCGGCTCCTTCACTTTGACCCTGCACTGCGGTGTGTCTCAGTCATGGCCCCTTTCTGTCATGCATCGTGAAATCTGTCTGTAGGTATAATTCCTACGGCTGGAGCGCAGCTGGCACTGGACAGCCTCCTCTCCTGAAATATTGATGAGGTCCAGCAGCTCGGCATTGCTCCAAGTGGAGAATCGCCTGGTGCGTGGAGCAGGCATGGCCACCTGGAAAGATGCGCTGAGACCACTGCACGCATCACCGAGCAAACAGGAAAGGGACTTTCAAAATTCCTAAGGAATTTAAGGGGGTGGAGATCATGGTTGGTTATCTGAGGGCAGAGCAGTAGAGTTCAAACCGATGACCAGAGAGGCCAGTCGCAGAGCTGTAATCGACCAGGGTGTCTACACTGGCATCACAGCGCTGCAGCCCCAGCGCAGAAAGCTGTGCGCCTCTCGTTGGGGTGGGTTTTTTGCAGTTCTGCAACTGTGTAGTTTCTGTTCATTAAGTGGCTCAGCAGTGTGTACACCTAGGGAGTTAGAGTGCAGACAGCTGCTTTACTACTAAGCAGGGGCCAGGCAGCTGGAAGAGAGTCAGCCTTGGCTGGTTTGGGACTCATGGGGAGGACCAAAGCCCTGGCCCTGGGCTCCCCTCCCCGCAAGATGGACTTGGCTGAAAGTCACTGATTTCTGTGCTAACAAGTTCTGCCCTATGCTGTGTTCCTGTCAACTAATAAACCTTCTCTTTTACCGGCTGGCTGAGAGTCATGTCTGACTGAGGAGTTGGGGTGCAGGGCCTGCTGGCTTCCCCAGGAACCCCACCCGGGCAGATTCACTGCAGGAAGTGCACGGTGTGAAAGGGGATGCTGAATGCTCCGAGGTCAGACCCAGGAAGGTGGAAGCTTCTTGCCCTGGAGACAGTATGCTCAGAGAGAGGAGGCTCCCCCAGAGTCCTGACTGGCTTCGTATGGAGTAGTTCCAGAGCATTGACCTGGTGGCTCTGCGACAGGGGCATATCACCAAGGAAGTATACATGGGAATAGTGTGAGCATGTAGGGACAAAATCAGGAAAGCCAAGGCAAGGAATGAATTACAACTGGTAAGAAATGTTAGAGACAATAAGACGAGGTTCTTCAAATATGTCAGGCAAAAAAGAAAGATTAGGGATGTTGTGGGTCCACTGCTCAGTGGAGAAGGTGAGCTGGTAACAGAAGATGATAAGAAAGCAGAGCTGCTCAATGTCTACTTGCTTCAGTCTTCACACAAAAACCATGTAACTGGACAACTAGCAATGGTAATTTAGACAAAGGGGAAGGGCTGCAGTTCAGGATAAGTAAAGAACACATCAGCGATCTTCTATTTTTCAATTTATCTAATGTTTTATCCCACTTTAATTAATCCTCTTTGGAAGTGCCATTATTCTGTTCCACAATGAGGTCTATTAGTAAACGGTTCCTATTTTGGATTAATCATACCACTTCTGGCAGTCATCCCATTGCTATTCCATGCTGCATTGCTGCATGTCCAGATTAGCCTGTGTATTTCTAGGGCCACCATGACCAGCTACCATCACCCCATTTAAATGCTTGCTCACAGCCTTATGCACCTCTTTATCAGTTCTACTCATGGGAAGCTGACACAACTGGAGTCCCATGCCCATTACAGCAGATACGCATCATGTTTCTGTTTGATCCCATCTGGTGATCGTGCACTGCCTTGCTCCCTAGAGAGATGAGCACACCCAGTTCCATCTGAACAAGAGTGACTGGACTGTCAGGATCTATAAGGGACTGGCAGAGCACATACAGGAGAAGGGTCACTCCTGGGATATGGCTCGGTGCTGCACCAAAGCAAAGATGCTCTGTCAGAGCTACAAAAACACAAGGGATGCAAACAGGACCTCCAGCAATGCTCCCAATGACTGCCCTACTATGAAGATCTGGGCTGGACTTTTGAAATGAGGCCACCACTGAATGCCAGCATGGGACTCTGGGCACTTTGGAGTCAACCCCACAAGAAAATTAGATGACCCCAGATTCTGACTAGGAGAAGATTTTCTTAAAGAGCCAGTGCATCTTTGGCATGCCCGAGCCAGAGATCCAGGGGCTAGAGAGCCCCCAAACTCCAGAAGGAGACCCATCCTGAGACTGTTGTGGATGGGAGCTCTACTAGACAGTGTTATGTGCTGTATTTCAGTACAACTATATAGGGAGATTTAAACAACTTTGTTCCGGTACTGGCTGGACAGATGAGAGTTATGACTCTTTCTCTCTCTCTCTCTCTCTCTGACTGCTCTGCCTTCCCTTCCCCCCATCTTGAGTGCTAAAAAAATGGCACCCATGCCAGAAAACTTTAAACTCTAAAGGATTTATTTCCCTGAACTATCAAACCCCTCAACCAGTGGCCAAACGTGCCATACCCTCAATCTGCTTTCCCATTATGCTTAATGCTCACCCTTCCTCCCAGACCCCTGCAGCCCTCCCTCCATCTTCAGTGAAGATGATGGCACTGTAATGGTTGAAAAAATGTAACATGTTGCAGGGTGGGATCTGAGTTACTACAGAAAATTCTTTCCTGGGTATCTGGCTGGTGAATCTTGCCCACATGCTCAGGGTTTAGCTGATCGCCATATTTGGGGTCGGGAAGGAATTTTCCTCCAGGGCAGATTGGAAGAGGCCCTGGAGGTTTTTCGCCTTCCTCTGTAGCATGGAGAACAGATCACTTGCTGGAGGATTCTCTGCTCCTTGAAGTCTTTAAACCACGATTTGAGGACTTCAATAGCTTAGACATAGGTGAGAGGTTTTTCGCAGGAGTGGGTGGGTGAGATTCTGTGGCCTGCATTGTGCAGGCAGATCATAATGGTCCCTTCTGACCTTGGTATCTATGAATCTATGTTTATTGTAGCAGAAGATACAGAAAGAGAAAAAGCAATAGAGAAAGTCATGGGGCTCACAGAGTGACCAGTGCCCTGAGCTTTCAGCTACCTTTCCTTTTTCAAACTCATATTGTATGAGGATAATGGCACAATTAATTAGATGGAATTATGAATTAATTGCTTCTCACCTAACTAGCTCAGGAAAACCAGGAACTAATGTGCTTAATCTGGAGCAAGGGAGATTTAGGTTAGATATTAGGGAAAACTTTCTAAATATAAAGGTAGTTGAGCTCTGAAATAGGCTTCCAAGGGAGGTAGTGGAATCCTCATTGCTAGAGGTTTTTAAGAACAGGTTGTGCAAATTCTTATCAGGTATGATTTACTGTCTCAGTGCAGGAGGCTGTCCTTGATGACTTCTTCAGGTCCCTTCCAGTCCTACTGTTTTATGATTCTATGAATGGACTAGTGTTATAAAACTGAATATAAAATTCAAACAGCTATGAGAATTAATCAGAATGGTATTCCATTAAATATTCATAAACTACATCAAGAGATTGTTTGCCCTAATTAAGAATAACTAGTATCTAAAAATTATTAACATAATTTAAAAGTTAAACTTAAAGCAATAGTATCAGATAACCAAGTATAAACTTAGTAAAGCAAATAAATTACAACAATTATACTTCAACTTGATATTCAAACTTTTAAACTAACACTGAATAAAACTAGATAGGTTGGGTAGGAGAATATAACTGAAAGTATTGTCAATGTAACAAAAACAAGCAAAACTGTTGCTAATACTTTTACTTCCGTCTCAAAAACGGTAGCATTTTGAGGCTAAGTGAAATTTTTAAGGCGAAGCCAGAGTCATATGATTACTACAGCTTGAAATTCAGCAGAGTTTAGACAAACATCTCTAGCTGGAAATGACTACAATTACATAGAAAAGCGGGGGTACAAGAATCACCCAATGTGATTATTATACAACAGTGGAGAGCAGAGAGGATTGCTTTTGATTTAGTGGAGTTAATAGGCAATTTTACAAGTGTGAAAGTTCAGAAAGTAGTTTGATTAACCATGGTATTCAAATTACAGCTAATCAAGCAGGCTGAGGGAGGGTTCTTAGAGTTAACAAGCAGCTAGCAGGAAGATCCTGGTGATCGAATTAATTGGCAGAAAAGAGAGATTATTAAACATAATTCTGTATACCAGTGAGTAAACACTGTAGTGTTCAAGTATAGAAAGAGAATTATCACAAAGTACCCTACTTATGGTATTTTAAATACACAAAGATAAACTAGTTAAGCTACCACCCCAAGGGTGAAATGAGGCTAGTATAGGAGTATAAGGTATTAACACATTTGATAACTCTTGTAGTTAAAAACACACCACACAATTAAAAATAGAATAAAAGTATTCTAGAGGTTAGAACATAAATATTGTAGAAAGATGCTGAAGTTGGAAGGTAGCTTTTCTCAATCTCACATAGAGTGTAATGTTATAAGGGAGAGAGATCTAAGGCCTGATCTACATTATGAAATTAGGTTGGTATGACTACATCACTCATTGGTCTGAAAAATCCCTCCCCTCTCAGCTACACATTTAAACTGATCTAACCCCCCGGTGTAGAAAGTGCTAGGTTGATGGGTGAAATCTCCCATTGACCTGGCTACCACCTCTCCAAGAGGTGGAGTACCTATGCCATCAGGAGAAACTCTCTCATCGACGGAGGCCGTGTTTTCACTGAAGCACTACAATATTTTTCATAGTTGGGTGGAAGTTGTTAGCCTTATATGACTGGTATTTTCCAAGTAAGAGTTCCTACTGTCCCAAGAGTCTGGATTTATGGAATAAATCTGAACTCCAATGGGTTCAGTGTTCTAAGGAAACAATAATTATGCTCTGAAAGAACAAATTCTGACTTCATTCAAAGTGCATAAATTCCCTATGTAATTTTAGCAACAAGCATGGATTTCCTAAATCCTTCTGCACTTTTTACCAGGTGGAATTTCTCACCCTGGCTTCTGTTGTTCATTGTGAAGTCTCCTTCATGGTGGGACATAGGATTCTGTCTTCAAAGAAATGTAAAGAGTCAATGGAAAAAGGGAACTGGACTCACAGTCACCCACCTTATGGAGTGGTTGCCCTAACCATAATGCTGCTGAGTCATTCCAACTCTCTCTCTCTCTAGCCAAAGGACTCTTTTTAGTATTTATATAAGGTGGAATTGTTTCATAAGGAGATACTGAGGGATCTATCAGAATATCCCATAGTTTCGTGGCCAGGGCACTCACGAGAGGTGACAGATACCTGCTCAGATACCTTTGTTTCATTAGATGGAGGGGGGACTTGAAATGGGGGAGGTCTCCCACATCCTGGGCAAGTGCCGTAATGATGGGGCTAAACGTTATGAGTGAGATCCTCCTTTCCCACACCAGCTGTTTTGTGTGGAGGTAGGCAGCCTCTGAACATACCTATTGGCTTGGATGCCATCAGCAGAGGAGTGTCTAACTTCTCCACTTCATGAATCAGAAGCAGAGATAGGTGCCTATCTCCATGAAATGGGCAGGGCTTAGGACATACCCTTCTCATTGGCATCTCCTACCGATTAGCTTAGGCAGCTCCCCACCTAGTGCAAAGGCTTTTGTGAATCACATTCTAAGATGCATTCTCTTCCCCTTCCTTGTATAGGGAGCCTGGATATCTAACTTGGGCTTTGTGGATCCCAGGGTTGTTCCTGTGAACAACCTAAAAGTTAGGCATTGTAATTATCTGAGTGTCACAATGCATAAATCCCATGTTGGATTTGGGCCTAAAACACTATCAAGAATAAATGAGAAGTCATAACATAAAGATTGTTCTACATTTATAACAACTGAATGGAGCATGATCAGTGTTCAGAGCTTCTGAAGAAGTTACAATCTAATCCCATCCTAGCCTCTTGCTCTGTACATCTCTGTCCCAACAAAGTGATTTCATTTTCTGTTTTAATAACTACACATTGCATATCCTCACTACATGGCTACTCCAGCCTAGCCTGACCCTCTGAAATTCATGGGAATTGGCAAAGGTTATCCCTAACCAGGGCATTTCTATGATGTGTGTCCTGTGTGGAATTTCTTATGAGGTTTAGGCTCTGCCAGAAGCATTTCCCACAGTCGGGCCACTTATAGGTTCTCTCTTGCCTGTGGGTTCTCTGATGTGCTAGAAGATGTGAGCTCAGCTTTTCCCACACTCCCTGCATTTGTAGGGTTTCTCTCCCATTTAGATTCTCTACTGTTGACTAAGAGTTGAGCTTCAACTGAAGATTTTCCTTCAGTCAGAGAAGATATAGGGCTTCTCTCCTGTGTGGATTGCATGATGTGTAATAAGCGCTAAGCTCTGACTGAAGCTTTTCCCACCGTCCATACACTTGTAGGGTCTCTCTCCACTGTGGATTCTCTGTTGTGTAGTAGGGGCTGAGTCATTCTGAAACTTTTCCTACACTTGGGACATTGAAAGAGTTTCTTCCCCATGAGATTCTTTGGTGAATAATAAGGTTTGACCTCTCTGAAGCTTTTCCTGCACTCAGGGCATTCATAGGGTCTCTCTTTTGTATGGGTTCTCTGATGGGATAGACGTTGTGAGCTTTGACTGAAGCTTTTCCCACACTCACTGCATTTGCAGTGTCTCCCCCTATGTTGATTCTCTGGTGATTAGTGAAATCTGCATTCTGAAGCTTTTCCCACAGTTGGGGTAGTTATATCATTACTTTCCTGTGTGGATTCTCTGATGTTTAATAAGGGATGAGTTGTGACTGAAGCGTTTCCCGCAGCTGGGGCAATTATAGGGTTTCTCTCCTGTGTGGATTCTCTGATGTCTAATAAGGTGTGAGCTCTGACTGAAGCTTTTCCCGCACTGGAGGCATTCGTAAGGTCTCTCTCCCGTGTGGGTTCTCTGATGTGATAGCAGGTGTGAGCTCACACTGAAGCTTTTCCCACACTCATTGCATTTGTAGGGTTTCTCTCCTGTGTGGATTCTCTGGTGAGTAATAAGAGTTGAGCTCCTACTGAAGTTTTTCCCACACACAGGGCACTCATAGGGTCTCTCTCCCGTGTGGGTTCTTTGATGTGATAGAAGCTGTGAACTTTGACTGAAACTCCTCCTGCACTTGGAGCATTCATAGGGTCTCTCTCCTGTGTGGGTTCTCTGATGTGACAGAAGGTGAGAGCTCACACTGAATCTTTTCCCGCACTCACTGCATTTGTAGGGTTTCTCTCCCGTGTGGATTCTGTGATGTTGAATAAGGGTTGAACTGCAGTTGAAGCTTTTCCCACAGTCAGGGCAATTATAGGGCTTCTCTCCTGTGTGAATTGTATGATGTGTAATAAGGGCTGAACTCTGTCTGAAGCTTTTCCCACAGTGCAGACACTTATAAGGTCTCTCTCCTGTGTGGATTCTCTGGTGAATAATAAGGACTGATTTCCAAGGGAAGCTTTTCCCACAATCACCACAAGTGTAGGGTCTCTCTATAGTGGGGTTTCTCTGTTCAACAGTTTCTTTGATTTTCTTGACCCATCTGCTTCTGTGACTGGATTTAGCCCATCTCTCCCCTGAGTGGTTTTCTTGCTGCCTCTCTGGCCTGTGCTGGCTCTCACAGAAGCCTGGCTCCTCAGGACTCTGGGAAACGTCCTTTTCAGCTCTTCCGGATACCACCCCATGTAGATCCACTTGCTCAGGACCTTCTTGCTGAGGATTCTCTTCCTCATTCTCACTCATCATGCCATCACCTTCTGAAATAGAGAGAGAATCCAGACAGGAAGCAGTCTCAGTGCTGGGGGGAAGGGAACGACAGTAAGGGGAACAGGAAAGGGGATCAAAACCAAATAATTGCTAGGGAGATTAAAATATCAGCAGCTGAATCCTACTAACTCCCTGCGATCCTAAGAGCAACTCAATGCCAGAAGGCTAGGGGCTTCCTGTAGCAGTGAGTTTCAGCTGGCCTGGCCATCTCAGTGGACAACAACTCACTATTGTTATCACTTAACGTTATCCCGGTTAATGTTATTTCATTGTTACATCACTGATCTATTTGGGAACATGCTCATTTAAAGTTATGTGATGCTTCCGTATAACGTTGTTTGGCAGCTGCCAGCTTTGTCCACTGCTTGCAGGAAGAGCAGCCCATTGGAGCTAGTGGTGGGGGCTTGGAACCAGGGTGAGCAGACAGCGCCCCTATCAGCTCCCCTAAGTTCCCTATGCTGCAGCCACCCAGCAGGCTATCAATTGCCAGGCAGTTCAGGTGTCCCTGCCCCCACTGCGGTGAGCTGCTTCTGCCCTCTGCCTTGGAGCTGCTCCCAGGAGCCTCCTGCTTGCTGTGTAGGGGGTGGGGGGGGGAGGAGGGGTGCTGATGTCAGGGTGTCCCCCTCCCCCCGCTCCTGTACCTCATCTCCACAGAGCGGGGGGGAGGGGCAGGAGACAGGGCTCAGGATGGAGGGAGCTTGCTGGCAACTTCTGTCTCAACTTGCTGATCTACTTAAAAAGGCAGTGTACTTAGAGTGGAGTCAGCGTACTTAAAGGGGCAATACACATTTCTCTCTTGCTCTCTCTCTCTCACACACACACACACACACACACGGTGTGTGTCTCTGTCTCACACACACATGCACCCCCCGGCACTTTGGAAAGTGGAGGGAGTGGTGTGCTCCAGTGGGACAGTGTGGGTTCATAATCACCTTCAGTTTCCACAGGGAATGTTTGCAGCCACTGCCACGTGTCTATTGTGTCTCCTCCCTCCATTTGTGCTGCCTTGTAGAGTGTGAGGCTACATTAACAACAACGTGTTAACCCTTGAGGGCTCAGCCGAGTGCTAGTTCATCATTTAGCAGCAGGGCATTCCCTGGGACAGGTCCGTCCTTAGGATTTATGGGGCCCTGTGCAGTCTTATTAAACTGGTGCCCCTATGCCCGATGGCAGCCCGGGCTCGTAGCCCGGAGTGGGGGGGTAGGGACGAGTCAGCAAAGGATATGGAGCCGCCCGGCCCACCTCATGGCAGCAGAGAGCCACAGTTCCCCGCAGAGACCCCCGTACCCTCTCCCTCACGCAGAATGCACGGCGCTGGTGCATTCAGTTCTGTGAATACGGTCCCTTCCTAAGGAGACTGCAGCATGTGTTGGGCGTGCAGGAGCTGACCCGCTCTTACCTGCTGTCATGGGCAGTGGGTGAAGCTGCCGCTTGGGGAGGCTAGCTCCCCAGCCCACCTCTTCTGCCTGTGGCCCCGCCCATACTCCAGCCCTACTCCACCCCAGGCCATGCCCCCACTCCATCCAGGCACCACCCTCTCCCCACTATCTCCCTCCTCTCTTCCCTCCCCTTCCCTGCTCACCCCCTTCCAGACAAATCCCTGAACCCAAATGAAGCAAATGACATTTGAAAAAAACACTCTTTTGCAATTTCTTTCTAAAGAAAATGGAACACGTTTTCCACTGCAAGCCAGATGGTGAAGACTCGACATGCAGAAGGTACCTAACTAAAAGCACTAAATTTGAGAATAAAAAATGTCAGTCACAGGTTTTTTGATATACCCTGAAGTTTGTCAGAGATTTATTTGCAAAAACTTTGTAATAAAGGCAAGTCAGTTGTCCTGCTGAAGGCAACATTAAATATTATGGAATACATGATGCAGCTCTTCTCTGTTTCACATTTTCTTAATCACTATTTCTAAGCTGATTTTATATTTTAAATGTACTCTTAAGCCTTCATAATTATTCCAGATCACTACATATTTAACTCACTGAAACAAAGACATTATTTTAAATTAATCAGTCACAGGGGTTTAGTGTGTTCATAACAATGTTCATTGCTTTTAGAAAAAGGGAACACTAATTTATTTTGTGTGATCTCCATAACCATAGACATGTTTATGAAATTTCACCAACTTTAAAAAATATGTTTCCAAAGATTTTAGGCATAACAAAGCATTTTATATCTTACTAAGGTCCTTATTTTGCTGGAGGGTCTCTTAAAACTAGTTCATCAAATAGTCAGAAGTAAAGAAAGGGAAACTTGTTTGTCCAGCTATCTGGAAGGAAAAGGGTGTTGTCCCTTTAAGGGCTCTCTTCAACGGGGGCGTGAAGGGAGAAAGCGATGGACAGAAAGGACAGGAAGACTTTGGAAGCAAGTTTTTTGCACTATAGTAATTAAAATTAAAATGTATATTTTAGATAAGGGTGCTCTTTTGAAGGATTTATTTAAAAAACAATGTGTCTGAAGATCCAAGCATTTATGGCTAAAGATGAATACTCAGATTGTGCATCTAAAAATCTATGCAAGGATTTTTTAGAGATGTGATTTTACAATCTTCAGCAACACACTAATGAAATATTTGTAAAGCAAATTTTTAACTAAGGTTCTGTAGACTAATATATTCTGAGTAAATATTGCAGTAATGCACAACTGTTTTTGTCAGTAAATTCAGAAACTGACAGTATATACCTGGGGGTTGGCAAATGCCTATTAAATGGCTTCATTACCACTTGAATGGCTTTTTGAACAGTTTCAATGAACAGTTTCATTGAACAGTTTCGGTGTTGTGCTAATAGGTCTGGCAGGCTGGAAGGCTTTTTCACTTTTAAGTTAACAGATCCCTTCTGGAGGAAGACTCATGCAGCAGCCAGCTGTGGTGGGTGCCTGCAGGAAGGGTCAGAACAGGGATAGAAAGAGGCGAGAGGGTATACACTAAGACCCATGGGTGCCCCAAATTTTTGGGTGCCCTACGCAACCGCGTATGCTGTGTATGCCTAAGGACGGCCCTGCCCTGGGAAATATCCCACCCTCTTCCACCCTCTGACTCGACCATCTCAACCAAGCTTTACAGTCATCATTGCTGTGTACAGTATTAAATTGTTTGTTTAAATTTATACTGTAAATATATACAAAATGTCTTTTGTCTGGTAAAAAACATTTCCCTGGAACCTAGCCCCCCTATTTACATTAATTCTTATGGGGAAATTGAATTCACTTTTTAACATCGTTTTGCTTAAAGTCACATTTTTCAGGACCATAAGTACAATGTTAAGCGAGGAGCTACTGTAATCTGTATCTAAAAGGTGTCATGTAATATGGCACTGGAAAATTAACAACTCGCTGATCATTAATATTCTTGTGTGATGTATGTACCACGAAGGACATGCTAGATATGCACTGGAAATATATGACTAAAATATGTTTAATCTGAGCATGTAGAGGGAGTTGATGAGCAGGTTTTCTCCACACAAAGAGGCCAACACTTCAAACCAGTTATGGCCAAATACAATGAGCTATTCGTTTGAATTGGAAGTTGCAGGAAGATAATTTGCATTGTAAAAATCACCAGCTGGGGATGGAGAGAAGACAGCATGGCATCCAGACCCAGCAGGGAAAGGAATTTTGTCGGGGCTAATTTTCAAGGAATTTTGTAGGTTTACTGGACTATAAAAAGAAAAGGTATATAATCCCATAGTTATCCATTCCTGTGCAGATACGAAGGCCAGTGCTCTTATATATCTGGGAAAAGTGGATCCTTCAACAAAGGAGGTTGAAGTCTCTGGGAACTGAATATAGGTGAGAAACCTGCTTAGATAAAAATTGTAAACTGCTGAAGTTAAACTTTAGTCTTAGAAAGCACATTTTTAAGTTTGTTTGTTTGTAACAATTTCTATCTTTATCCCTTGTACTTGAACTAACTTCAATCCTAACTCTTTAATCAAATAAACTTTTTTACTTTTTATCTAAACCAGCTCAGTGCTTGGATTGAGATAGGAGGGTTTGTCAAACACCAGTGAAATTAATGAGCTGCAGTATATTGCTTCTTTAAAGGAGCAACAAACTTAACTTCTGTGAGCATTCCAGGAGCAGTCTGGGCACTGCAAGGAGACAGTTTTCAGGAAATTCAGAACTGCAAGGGTGTTGGTTTCACTTTGCAAACAATAACTGGGCAGTGGAAGCCAGGCTGTGACCTACAGGATTGTCTGTTGGCTGTTGTTGTTTGGGCTATGAGCCACAGTAGCAGAGCATTTAAGGCATCATAGTTGTAGGACAGGCAGTGAGATAACTCCTTAATGGTCTGGGTTGAACCCCAAAATGTCACAGCCTCCCAAACCCCTCCCCAGAGGAGAGAGAGGAGGAGACGCATTCTTCCTCCACATCCTCTGAATATAGAGGAAGGTAGGGGCTGAAGGGTCAGACAGGCTTGATGAAAATTCAGATGTGATGTCTGGCAGGAGGATACAATAATTGGTCTCTTAGTCAGTTTAGCTGAATCCTCACCTGTGTGGACATTCCTCAGGCTCTCCCCTTCCTTGTAGCCCTGGAGATCAGGGACCCATGGCTCCTCCCCTCGTTCCAGCCGGGAGATCATGTCAGGTTTTGCTTGGGGAGCAAGGAAACAAGTGCTGATCGTGTTTATTAAAATGAAACTGTTATTCCTTCCAAACTGAGGATCTGAATAGCCCACCCAGATAGGCTCCTTCCTCTCTCCTCCCACCCTATAGGGACTGGGCTATAAATCATAAAAGATCCCATGCCACACTGCTCTGCAGCAACAGTTTATCCATTCTACCTAAGGAATGGCCCTGCCTTATTCCCATGGGGACCTGAGGAGAGTTGCTACACTCTGAAGGTATCTGGGATACAACTAAAGTCTTAATCACTGCCAATTCCCACCCCCACCCCCCGCCACACACACATAACTCATATCCCTTCACAAAACAAGCCACAATTGGAAGATGTTACATAGACTGTGAACTTTTTGAGGTAGGGGCTGTCTTTCACTATGTGTCCATGTACCACCTGGCTCAGAAAGGCTCTGATCACTGACTGCGGCTTCTAGGTGCTTCCCCAATGCAAGTTGTTCAGAAATAAACAGAGGAAACACCACCCATGGCCTGGAAAGAAGATCAATAGACACCTGCCCCCAGTGCAGTGCAGAGAGCAAAGAACCTCCTCTCATGAGTCATGATAGACTAGGACTAGGGCAGATCCACATGTTGGTCACTCAGCCCTTCCCCATCACCCATGAGACCTGCTCTGCCCCCATAGCTGCCCATCTGGCAGACATCAAAGGACTGGTGCTGGATCTCATCCCCTCAACCTGTTCCATACACCACAGACCCAGAGAAACCAGCTCTGGAGGTGGAGTAGCCATTCTCATCCCACCTGGCCTGATACTGCAGAATCATAGAAATGTAGGGATGGAAGGAAACTTGAGAAGTAATTAAGTCCAGTCCTCTGAACTCATGGCAGGTCCAAGTATACCTAGACCATCCCTGACAGGTGTTTGTCCAACCTGATCTTAAAACCCTACAATGATGGAGATTCCATTAGCCTCCATTAGTAACCTGTTTTAGTGCTTAACTATCCGTATAGTTGGAAAGTGTTTTCCTGATATCTGACCTAAATTTCCCTTGCTGCAGATTAAGCCTATTATTTCTTATCCTACCTTCAGTGGACATGGAGAACAATGGATCCTCATCCTCATTACAACAGCTCTTATCATATTTGAAGATTGTTATCAGGTCCTCCCTCAATCTTTTTTTTTCCAACACTAGACACATCCATTTTTTTTAAACCTGACTTCACAAGTCATGTTCTCTAAACCTTTTATCATTTTCAATGCTCTGCTCTGGATTTACTCCAATTTGTCCACATCTTTCTTAAATTGTGGTGCCCAAAACTAGTTAACACAGTACTCTAGTGTCATCAGTGCTGAGTTGAGTGGGACAATTACCTCCAGTGTTTTACATGCAAGAGTTCTGTTAATACACCCCAGAATGGCATTAACCTTTTTTTTCAACTGCATCACATTGTTGATTCACATTTAATTTGTGATTCACTATCATGCCAAGATTATTTTCTCAGTACTACTCCCTAGCCAGTTATTTCTCATTGTGTATTAGTACTTTTCACTTGTCTTTACTAAATTTAATCTTGCTCATTTCAGGTAATTTCTGCAATTTGTCAAGACTGTTTTGGTTTCTAATCCTGTCCTTGCAACCCCTCCCAGCTTGGTGTCTTCCACAAATTTTATTAGCATACTCGCCACTTGACTCCATCAGGTCATTAATGAAAACATTGACTAGTACTGGACCCAGGACAGATCACTGTGAACCCCCACAAAATATGTCTTCCTCATTTAACAGCAATCTGTAGGTAACTATTATTTGAGTAAAGTTTTTCAACTAGTTGTGCACCTGCTTTATAGCAATTCCATCTAGACCACATTTCCATAGTTCGCTTATGAGAGCGTAATGTGGGACTGTGGTGGAGAAGACAGCTCTCCTTTCTTTGATTCCAGAACCCAACCACTGGGACACCCTTCCTAGGCACCAGACATTCACATAGTAAGACACAGTCGCTGTCCCAAAGTCTAAAATGAAAAGATAGACAGTGGATTATTATCTCCATTTTACACAGGGGGAACTGAAGACCAGAGAGAATAAACCTAGGACTGTTAAAAGAGCCCAGGCCCCCAAGTCAACAGGGTTGGATGTGTAACTCCCTGGGTCCCTTAGAAAGCCACAGTCTGAGTGATTTACAAGAGCTCAGACAGGGAGGCTATAGCAGAGCCTGGAACTTAATCCAGGTCCCAGTGTAGTGTCTGAAACACAAGAGCAGCTCTCCTCACTTTTTCTACTTTGGTGACATACCCCACAGAACACTTCCAGACCATAAAGCACTTCACAAACCCTCACTCAGCCCCACAACCCAGCCCCTCTCACTCTGAGAAACCAGCACTTCACAGAGACCAACCACGGCCAGCAAGAGACACCATCCTCCTTCCAGGGATTCAGCACATTGGCACGAGTGGTAGCCCATGAGGCATGAACAGCAGCACTCTGACACTCGTCCATGCCCTTCATGATTGGTAGAAGAGTCAGGAACATCTGAAGCCTCCCACCAACACAGCTGGCTGAGGCAGAACATGGGCAAGGTGAAGGGTGTTTGAAAATGTGGCCACTGGGGATTTAGGCAGAGCTGAGTCATGAGAAACTTGGCCATCTCTGAGATGGCAGATGGGTCAGAGGCCCCAGAGGATGTGACTAGCCTTGGGAACGGTCAGTAGAGTGTGACTTTGTCTCACTTGAAAACATTGGTTAAGGGAAGAGCAGCATCATTATGGCCCTGAAACTCCTGTCCTATGAGAGGGGATGTGGAGGGGACAGTCACTCACACACAGGATTTGGGTACTATAGGGGCTGATTCCCCTGTAATCTGGGAGACCAATGAAGAGCCCTGCACAGAAGCAAACCCAGATGCTTCAGAGACACTTCCCCAACAGCTTCTCTTACCCAAGAAGACAGGAATCCTTACCCAGCGAGGTCACAGTCTCATAATTCTCCTGCATGACGTCCCTGTACAGGGCTCTCTCACCCAGGTCCAGCAAAGCCCACTCTTCCTTTGTGAAATACACAGCCACATCCTCAAAGGTTACCAACTCCACTCCAGCCATTTCCTTTCCCCGTCTCTCAAGGGAATGAGACAACCTGAAGCAAAATGTGGATGTTATTCTGCAGCCTGTCCGGGTTAGAAGGGTGACTGGGGATGTTTTGGAAGGGGATTTTGTCCGTTTCACGCTCCTGTTCCCCACATGTTCTTTCCCCGCAGGCAGATGTTCTGGACTCTGTGAGTCTGGGGAAATGTTTTTAATAGCTTTATTCAAACAATAGCATTTTAAATCCATATTCACTTTTCTCAAAAAGTGGCCAGAGTTTCAAAAATGCTGAGCCTGCAACACTGAGGTTCAGGTCTGAGTGCCCAGAGCTACTGAAATCAGTCCACTTACTCTGGTGCCTGAATATCATCACTTTATTATACCATGGACCCAGCCCCCTCCCACCAAGACTAACCCCAGAGACTAGAGATTACGTGAATTCAAGGTGACCAGAAAGACATGTTAAAAAAATTGGGACATGCCTGATTTTCCCCTTTTACAACCCGCACCACCATGTGGTCATGGTCTGGCACATCACCAGGGTACAATTTTAAACTGTGATCGGAAGGTAAGCTTTTACCACATTTCTTTAAAATTATATATACTATGACAGCCACAGGCATAGACGACTGGTATCTACTGATAGTGGGAAAGGCACCATTTACAGGATTGCCACCCCACCCCCAACAGCTTGAGTCATGCCTCCCCAGGCACATCCCCCCACCCTTACTCTTAGTGGTCCCTCCCTGAAGCTCCCAGGCTGGGAGGTGCAGGGAGCAGCTGCTGCTTTAGCCCCTTGGAGAGAGGCAGCAGCAAAAGCATGGACTCTCCTTTCAGCTCTCAGCTGTTTTGCTGCTGCCTCTCCCCAGGGCCACAGCTTGCAGCTGGCCAATCCCAGGAGCTGCCACACAGGGAAGTTACTGACTGGGGGAAATCTGGGGGAATCAAAAAACTTGCCTGGTCCATGTTTGGGTAGTAGAGGGGCCAGATTGTGTTCCCTGGGTAAGTTGTGGGTATAGGTATTAACAATAAGCCCCAAGAGTCTTCCAGACATAGATCCCTTTAGGAGCAGGTCACAGGGAAAATATCTAAAAAGAAGCATCCTATGATAAAATATGTGTTAACTGCACAGTGTTCAAAATCCAGTAGAGTCAGATAGGATGTTCCTTCTGTGTTAAACTTGAGCATGTTATCAGAAACCCCATACACTATCATACTGACTGTAGAGGGCAGTGCTCTCTACAAAACAAAGCTGCTCTCAGGTTTCCAAATTCAATCAAAAAGAAAAGGAGTACTTGTGGCACCTTAGAGACTAACCAATTTATTATAATAAATAATTATTATTTATTATTATTTATTTATTATTTTATCGGATGCATCCGATGAAGTGAGCTGTAGCTCACGAAAGCTCATGCTCAAATAAATTGGTTAGTCTCTAAGGTGCCACAAGTACTCCTTTTCTTTTTGCGAATACAGACTAACACGGCTGTTACTCTGAAACCTGTCAAATTCAATCAGAGAATAATGATCAGTGCATTCCTGGTCTGGGGTCAGGTTACAGGCATATAGCATGTAGGCCTGAGCAAATTCACCACAATCGATCAAGTGTGTTCAGTCTTTTACATCTTTCCCAGTTGCCTGCATGAGATCCAAGTACTCCCTCATCAGGGATTTCCCTATACCTCCCCCATAGGGCTATTTACCTCCCCACCCAAATTCCCCCCCCCCGGGGTCAGTTTTGTGAACTAATTACATGCAAGTGTTGCCAATTTAGTGATTGTTTGGAAATTTGAATGGAAATTGAAACATTAATACACACTTTAAAAGCATACAAAGTGTATGATAAAATATGTGTATCTGAAAAAGTATAATGGATTTGAAAAGTATGAACATAGACTAGCTTCCTTATACAGCTGTTGCTTTTATGACCATGTCAGTGCATTCATCTCGGTGATGTTGGCCAACCTAATAATTTCAAATTATGATTTGTAAGCAAAGACTAAATGAGCTCTCCCTGACAGCTAGTGATGAACTGGGGGGAAAGGCTTCAGGACCAGACTGTATTTACATTCACACCTAATCTACCTCAGTATCCAGCAAACAGAGCTGTGTTGCCCAAGTGATAGATTTTGGCTGCGGTTGGGTTACAAATCACTTGAATGCAGGGGTAAAGAAATGTTCTTATTCTTATTGTATGAGTAAAGGGCAGTAGAACTGTACTTAGCCTCTGGGGATTGGTCCTGCTTTGAGCAGGGGGTTGGACTAGATGACCTCCTGAGGTCCCTTCCAACCCTGATATTCTATGATTCTATGATGACTGAGGACATCGAGAGAGAGGGTGGGGACAGGTGTTTTGCTTGATGGTCTGCCTGAGTCACAAGTACTATTAAACCTGCCCCTCTCCACTGTTTAAAGACAGAGCTGATTATGCTCCATAGATAGTCTTTTGTTGTGTTAAGTGACCACTACAGCTGAAATCACTGAGAATCAGGTCTAAATGCTTAGACCTGCTGTGGAACAGTGTTTCTGTGGCAGGCCCAATCTGCACTAGCAGCGAGGTTCCCCCACTGAGAGCTCAGCTGAAATCACTGAGAGCTGGGTGGAACCTCAAGAGACCAAGTCGCAGCGGTCACAGTGGCAGGTGGCAGCAGAAGATGACGGCGCAGGGCCATTGGCAACAGAGCGATGGAGTGAACGGTGGCACAATGAAAAACAGTGGCCAGAGCAAACAGTGAGCAGCTGGAGGAACGAGCAAGGTGCCTTCTTGCTCCCCACCTGGGAGGTGAACTCATGTGAAAGCACCTCTGAACTCTGAGTCTCCACTGACCAAGGACAACACCAGTGAGTGTTAATGAGGCTGTTAAGAATGCTGGAGACACAACAGAGTTCATGCGAACAAACATGGCTGTGGCATCATACTTTCTATTTAGGCAAGAGATAACACTGGCCTCCAGTTTGTAATGTGCGGTAAGTGCATTGTCACTTGTTCATCCTGAAGTTGAACACTGGTTCTGAACAAGACCAGCAAATGCTCACTATCTTTCTGCAAGAAACTCAACTGACTGGCTAGACACATGTGGTGCAACAGTGAAAGACTCAACAGTTAAAAAAGTGAAGAACTCTCTCACCACATTCAAAAAATTTGCATACATGGCTGATGAATGCACCGATGCAAATGGGCATCAAGTATTAAGTCATTGTGTACGTTATCTTGATGTCAGTGGCAGGCCAGGAGACGCATTTCTAGATGTTCAAGTTATTGAAGACAGATTGGCTTCATCTGTGACAACCCACATCTTAGAAGAGTTAAATGCTTGTCAGTTGGACTCCAAACAGATGGCTGCTTGTGCATTTGATGGAGCTGCAAACTTCTCTGGAAGACATGGTGGAGCACAAGCTTTGCTCAGAGAAAAGTGTAACTCTAGTCTCTCCTAGACACTGCAGAGGCCATCTACTCCCACTAGCGCTAGTATGAGCTGCAGACTCTTCAAAAGACATTTAAAAAGCTATACATTTAATGTCTTCATTATATTCTTTTTTCAGCAAGAGTCCAAAAAGACTGAATATCTTGGAAAATATAGAAGAGACACTGGGACTGAAGTTTAAATTAGTCCAACCTGGGAAAAACCTCTGGCTTTCTCATGAGCGATACTTGGCTGTTGTCTTAAAATTATTCCAGCCATTATTACTGGCTTTGGACAGTATCTACCAAGATGGGATGGATCTAAGTAGTGAGGCTGGTGGATTACTTTTGCTACTACGTTCAGAGAAGACTATTGCCATTCTCTCTCTTCTAAGTCTACTGTTGGAAACCACTTGAGTCATTAAACAATGCCATCCAGGCATCTGCTACAACAGTAGTAGACCTTTGTCTAGCAAAGCTTGTTCAGAAGCTACATTTGGATCAATCAGAAAGCTATCCTTTGAAAAAGTACTGGAAGAAGCAAATACTTCAGCCCAGAAGTTGACTAATGAAGGCATTTATATTGAATCCTTAAGTGAAGAGGACAAGAAGTGTTTGTTAAGACAACTGAAAAAGTACACAGACTTGATTCTTAAAAATCTACAACAGTGACTTCTAGATTCTACTCAACTTCTACGTAGCTTTCACAGATCCCTGTCTTATAAAACACAGACAGTTGAGTGGAGTGAGGCACTACCAGCAATGAGGCTGCCATGTGCTCAGGACAGAATAGAGAATTTGAACACAGACTGGAATATCATACGATGAATGAAAGAAGATTTGACTTCAACTTCTTTTTTATCATCACTAGTGGCTCGACCTGGTCTTTATGCTATGTTTCCTGGGCTGAAAGAAGTAGGAATTTATCTCTTGCTACTCCCAGTCACAACAGCTACCGTTGAGCGTTTTTTTTAATCATTGAATAGAATTTTGTGTTTTGAAAGAAGTCGCCTTCTGCCTGATCATGTGAATGAACTAATGAGCATATCAATGGAAGGAATGGAAGTACCGGACACACGAGAAGCTACCAAAGATGAATGCATTGCATTCAAGAAGTTCATTAACAGAGTTGTGCAAAATAATAACAAAAAACCAAGAAGGATGTAGACTTAGTGCTTCATAGAAGGCTTGAGTAGCCAACTTTAATTTGTGTGATGATTTTAAAACATGAGTTAAATCTCATAAAATGGTCATGAAACATTTTTCAGTTTTTACTATGGTGCCATACAGCCCACCTTCACCCTCATGGTCTCACTCCTCATCTGTCCTGACCCTTCCCCCACCCCCTGTAAATTTGAACACACACCCCTAATTTCAATTCCCGGGGAAAACACTGTCCCTCATGCATTTCCATTTCTCAGAATCAGTTTGTAGAGGTTTAACTTGCACCTGCTCACCATCCACATATAAGGCCACAAAATTAATGTCATAATGTTTAAAGTTGAAAGCACTGTTAAAGTAATTACTACTGAAGGCATCATGATCTATAAAGCCAATAACGAACTGGTAACTGCCCCCGAAAGAGGTTTTCCTGGTTACTGACATGACTGCAGTCAGAATGCTGAACACCTTCATCATGCCCACCCAGTGCACAGGGTACTTAGCATTGGTGGTTGTTACAGCCTCTGCCTGGCCCAAACAAACCTCGGAGTAACTTTCACCTGTTTCACAAAACAGGACGCTGAAATAATGTGCACTTTATAATTCCGAGTGGCATTCCCACTCATCAGGGGAAAAGTTTCTTTGCTACATGTAAGTTTAATTTTCAAGTCTATGTCCTTCAGCAGCAATTTTTTTTGAAAAAACAAATCACTGTGTAAAGGTCCCAGCAAATCCAGCTTTCTGCTGATGGCTGTTAGGTCGGCCCTGAGTATAAAACCTGTTACCCACGCTGTCCAAAACGGTGCTATTGTGGGCCCCTGCTGTGTCTCTCTGAAACCTGTCTGTGGAAACTAGGATATGCTAGGGTATGATTGCTGTAGTTCAGAATCAATTCTATCAAGATTCTGTAAGTGTAACAATTGTTGCTCTGGCTGATAAGACAGACACCTAAAGTGACATCCAGCTGGTTAAGGGTGGTGATGGGGTAATTTGTTAGGATGACACTGGCATCTTTGTTAGCGTCTGCCCCATGTTCTTTCAGAACCTTGTGGCACAGGTACAGCAATGTGCTGTGAGGTCTAGGTAATGAGTCCCAGGCCTCAAAATAAAATTAAAAAATTCTAGAGGGGGATTCACAGTTAAGGCAGCCAAAGGTGGCACCTTGGCATAAAAGCTATTCTCAACGCTGGTTTGAGCAGGGCTAATTGAAACAGATTCAGTTCTGATTTGGGACAATTCTTCAGAATTGCTATGAATGAAAGCCATTTTGTGTTTTAAAATACATCCCTGTTACCATGGGTGATGCTTAGCTTCCTCTTCTTAGGGAGTCTTTTAGGCTTATGGCTGCAGCATCTTTTAACAGCTTTTATTTTCTTTTTTAAAGGGCAGGGAGACTCTGTAAATGGAAGGCCTGATGCCACTCTTTTTCTCCTTATCACTGCAAGACCAGAACATTCTTGTTTTACGTGCATGCTCACTTCATTCATAACAGCGCTAGATACTCGATTTACTACATCATTGTTGTAATTTTAACAGCTATTTTCATGTAGGGCTTACTGATTTCTAGACCCTTTCTCAAAATTGTTACTGTTTTTCTAAAAAGACTGGAAAACATCCTTCCTAAACCATCCTCATACATAGCAGGTAATCCAGGATAACCCAGCAAGGCATAACCAACCTGAGCCTTGTAATAGTTCCTATACAGAGCTTCAACTTTCCTGGGGTGTACATGCAGTTTAATAATCACCTTCCCAAAACAAAATGAAACGTGTTTAGTCCATTCTGTCTTTACTTCAGTAGGGATGGTTCTCATGTGCTGCTTACTCATGGAAACTTAATAGGATTTGTCACCCGTGATAGTGATAAATTTGTTGGTGCTGTCATGGCTAGCAACACAGCACAGCGACGGAAGAGAGTAGTCCCCCACTAACCGCTGTTACTCTATATCCATGTACATGTATGAAGAATTAACCCCCACCACCACTCTAATGTCAGCATGGTGAGGGGCTATAATGCAAGAATACTCCCAGTCCTATCACCAATCCCCCTCTCCCCATCCCAGGTATGGAAAAAATACTTTTCTTCATTTGTTTTTAACCAAGTCCTTCTGGTCACGGCCTCATCAATGTCACTGAGTTCTGGTTTCTTGGGATCGCTGTTAATAGTTTTGTTCATGTTCTCTAATAAATGCTGGGTGTTTTAATAATAGCAATATAAAAAAGGCTGGTACTACCGGACTATCACAAATGGTAAAGCAAAAGAAATTATGGCCCATAAGTGACCATAATGGATTTTTGATAAACCAATATCCCAATTACCAGAAGAACAGCATACTGGGTCAATCAGACCAACGGTCCATCTAGCCCAGTATCCTGTCTTCAGAGAGTGGCCAGTGCCAGGTGCCCCAGACGGAATGAACAGAACAGGCAATCATCAAGTGATCCATCCCCTGTCGCCCATTCCTGGCTAACAGTCATTAATGGACCTATCCTCCATGAACTTATCTAGTTCTTTTTTGAACGTGGTTATAGTCTTGGCCTTCACAATATCCTCTGGCAATGAGTTCCACAGGTGACTCTGCATTGCATGAAGTACTTTCTTTTGTTTGTTTTAAACCTATTGCCTATTAAATCACATTTAAAGTATAAAGCTGGAAGTAGTATTTTGAGGAAAGGTCCCCACAGATGCATTTCTAGGTAAGATGACATAAAACCCACCTTCAGTCAGTTTCCTCCTTATCACAGGTCTTGAACTTGAGACATTTTGACCCAATTGTTAAATTTTCCAGGCCAGCTTTCCATTTCACCAGAAAATACTTTTTCTCTCCCCCGTCTTTTTTTGATAGAATCTTTTCTATTTTGTAAACACAGGCCCGGCTAATGTTTACTTTTTGTAATTCTTCAGAGCAAACAGAGCCTACAACTTCCTCTTCTCTGTAATCTTTTAATGTGTACACAGTTTGCTGCCCTTATGATGAAATACCAGACACAAATATTTTTATTGGTAAAGGTTTGCGGATATCCCTTTTCAAAAGCTCCTTTTAATTTAGAAACCTTATGGGATCTCTTTTCTGAAAAAGAGAGTGTGGCACCTTTATTATAAAGCTATTCCCATAGACCATTTCTGACAGGCTCAATGAGTTAGTATGAGTAACGTCAATCAGTTCTGATAACTTCTGTTGTAACAGTAGTTGAAGGCCTGCAGGACACATCGATGTATGAAAAGGTGCTATAGGCATTAAAATACCTCCACGTCTTTGATTTTAAACTTCTCCATTTAAACCCTCACCTTGACTTTCTTATTGGTAAAAATATCACATACACCTTGTTATTTTAACAAAGTCTTTAAAGTTTTGTTAAAAGTAGATGAGGAAAAGAGTTCTTAAATTTCTGAGGCACCCAACCTTGGCTGAAAAGAGCTTTAAAACACCTTCATCACTATTTAAGGCTACAACCCAGTTTTATTTAGACAAAATATCTATCACTGTTAACATTTATTTATGACTATCATTGAGGTTCAATTTGGGAATCTCAATGATCAAATGAGCCTGGCATTGTGCATCCACATCAGACAACCATTTTATTTCTTTTAAACTTGATTCTTGCTGGCTTGTGCTACATGTGAGTATCTTGGTCTACAAGCCAAGATGCAATCTGCTTTCTGCTCAGAGTTTTACCACATTTGTTAGCAGCCTGAAATAAGGGAATGTGTGTGTGTGTGGGGAAAATCATACCTCCTAAACTCCCAACCTCCCTAGGAGAGTAATACATTTTCTTTTACAAGCCTGTGACATTCTGAGTATGTGTTCCAGATCTGAGGAATAGCTGTGTAGCTCAAAAGCTTGTCTCTCTCACCAACAGAAGTTGGCCCAATAACAGACATTACCTCACGCACCTTGCTTCTTTACCAAGCCCATCATTTCTGACTCCACGACTTAAGTATATGTAAGAAAACATTAACAAAAAAATACAGAGCAAGGCATCATATTTTACCATTAGATTCTTAAAAGCAGAGTTATATACAGTCAAGTGAAGCAACTATGCACAGCTGGTAACATCTTTCTATTTAAGATTAGTTTTGTAGCACCTATAAACATCCGTTGTGTTCTTGTTTCTGAAAGAACAAATTTGTACATCTTCATCAATATTCAGTTGTATTCTTTTTGACCCCTTAGGGAGAAGTTCTGTCATGTAAGAAGTTTTATAAGCCTTTCTTAACAACCCTTTGACATATCATCAGGACAGTTTTCACTGGCACCTTATTTCCAATGCCTGCCACCAGTGACAATCTGCTGAAGTTTCTACCTCCCTTATCATTTTAACAATGGCAGTTACAGTTTGTGTGGTCAAGTTAAGCTCCTTCAGTTTTCAGCCTGTGGCCATAATTCTATTTAAGAGCCATGCCATATTCAATTTAGAAGAAATGCATCTGACCTGGTGAAACATTTCTGTGCACCCTCAAAGGATACAATTATGGCTGTGCGAGTGGGTTCATCTATCACACAGGCTTCACAATTATCGAAGAGCTGACCCTTAAGTGGTGGTAATTGGCTTTGTCTACAACAACCCTAACAATATCAGTCATAACACCTTCTTTACAACTCAGTCAGTCAGCCCCCTTACTTTGTATTGGCTTTTTTTGGTAAGTTTCCTTTTTGCAAAAGCAGAATGTGCATATCAGATTTATTCTTCCAGAAGGCTGGCTCTCTTTATCCAACTAATCTGCTGAAGATATCTGTCAAAAGCAGAGAAAATAATAGGTTTTTAATTTTGTTGTAGTAATTTACAAATTAAAAAGGCAAAAATTGTACTACCTAGATCATCCCCTCTTCTGTTTCTGAAATGTCATTATTCCTAGTGGCCATGCTGTTGGGCATTGTCTGTCTCTCCATCTCATCTATGATCCCGGTTACTACGAACAAACATATACATGTATTTAAACCCTTATAATTTTGCATGAATTTCTTGTAAAATGCCATAAGGGGTCTTACCTCATCTTGCAATTCTGGCTCAGACTGCTCTGCTTCTGATGGCAACTCGCTACGTACCCTGGATGTAATCCTGTATGACTCTGGCTTAGTTATCTGTCAAAAACAACAATAAGCACATTTTAAAAGTACAACTGTAATTTTTTTTTCAAAAGCTGTGAAAAAACTTCCAGTTGTTTTACCATGATGATATTGCCATTTAACCAGCAATCATCAGTTACTGCCTGACTCTCGGCCTCACTATCATCCAACGATACCATGGCTGCCAAGTCCATGTATACAGGTTCTTCTTCCTCCCCTTCCTACAAAAAGCATAAACACATTAAGCCTCTTATAATTTTGCAGCAATTTGTTATAAAATAATACAGGCCATCTCACCTTGGACCTTAACTCTGCCTGCATCATAGCCAGCAAGAAATGCCTCTGCATTCTATCTTGAAGTACTTTTACATCTTTTGCCTCATTTACAACAGGCGATGGCCCCATGGAGTCTCCCTGGTTCTTTAGTTCGATTTCTGGATAGAACGTGGGGTTCAGTATCAGTGATGCCTCTTCAGGGAAATAAGGTTAGGCAGGCTGTCTCTTCTGAACACATGCAGGTGCCCCCAGAGGCAATTCAAGCTTCTTGGCATCTGTAGGCATCTTGTAAAAGGCCATGATTGGAACATACAGGTTCCCAGTTTAAATTCCCTTGCAAAAAAGTAGGTTTTTTATACACACACCAGTCAAACAATCGTTGCTTGGGGTTTTCCAAATGATTCAGTCCTCAGGAGGCCATTCCTGACTGGCTCAACAAAAGTGACTTAAACAGTGCAATGGAGAATAGCCATGCCCCACCATTAATGTGGCACATTACAATTGGTTCAGGGAATGCATTCATTTTAATATTCTATGACTTGTCTAAAGAATATCTTCTAATTTGCTCAGCCTCGAGCCATGGCTTGTCTGAGGCTGCTGTTCTGGAATTACTGGCATTTGATTAGTGACTGCCTTTGGGGTGAGGTGCTTTTCTCTTTCTTGATTTTTTAAACACTCTCTCACACACTTCGTAATAATAGTCTTCATTTTCTCTCCCTGCCATTTGGTCAGAGAGCGACATTTTCCTTTCTTGCTGTTTTACAACTCTCTCTTTTTGTCCACTTTATTTTGCTCTCTCCTTCTGCCTTTTTTCCCCTTTCCATGTAACAAACTCTCTCTCACATTTTTGATAATCCACTTTATATTCTCTTGGTCTTTCTCTTCCCCCCCCTTATTTCTGAATATTATCCCGCTCTGTTTTTCTACAGCCGCCTTTCCACGTAGCAAACTCACTCTCAGAGATAATCTGCTTTATTTCATAAATTATTTTAAAATGACTTAACACTTATTGATGCTACTGGACTATTGAAATGACCTTAACAGCAGCTTTAAATGTAAATAAACAAAAAATCCCACACACACTATTTATACATTTCGTCCTGATGCACCCGTTGTTTTTTTTTTCAAAATGGCCACCAGGTCAAACGTGTGCATGTCCAAATAGGAGTCTGGGGTGGGATATAAAGCAAAAAGGGGTCATGGAAGCCTCTCAAAAGTTATATGATGAGTAAAGGTTTTAAACTACTTAGCTTCCCTGCATTTAGGTTAAACGTAAACCAGCCTGAATAAGCTGGCTGGCAGAACTGAGTGCTGTGAGCAGAGGAAGCAATCTCCTGTTTTGGTTGGTTTGGGGGTTTTGTTCATTAGTTTTTTTATCTCTCCTGGGTTCAAGGAAACAGGACACTGTAAATAAATAAGACAGCTATAAAGGTCCCAGAGTCCACTGTCAAGTTCTCCTCCCAACTGGAGCAGCCCTCAGTCCCTGAACTTTGACCATCTGCTCAGGTCAAAAGGAGTACCGCCGTCTTGTATGAAATCCCTCTCAAAGGCAATTTTTGCTAAAACACACACATATAATACTGACAACCTCAAGAATTCAAATTTAACCCAGAAGAGTTATGATTTTTAAAAAATACATTTGGGATTCTTTTTATTTATCTTTTTGATGCTGAGCCTTTAGGGGGCACTAGCTTCATATTTTCAAGCTCTCTTTCCCTCCACAACCATGACGGATAGAATCTCTTCTTATTATTCTGTGATTCAAAAGCAGTCTCTTGATTCCAGAAGCTGTGTTTTCAGAATAAAAAACAACAACTATTGCCACACTCATGATAAAATCATCAAAGTTGGTAAAAATGGGTGCATGTATTTAACTACCGCCTAGACACACATTGATACCAATGAGAACACTCACGCTCCATAAAGTTAAGGACTTGTTTACTTTTTTTTTTTTTCCTCTGGGTAGAGGAATTTGTTTGCAAGCGGAAACTGCAACCACTGATTGGCTGTGACCTCTCCCAAAGAATGCATGTCTAAAATATTTATACATTGCTTTAACAGTTAATACCATTTTGCACTTCCAATTATATTGAAATGACCTCACCCATTTTTACTTAAAAAAATAAACCAAAATTCTATAACTAATTCTCCCATCCTGCTAACACTGAGGCACAGGCTTTCATACTTCATTAGCCACATCAATGATCATTTATCTCCTGAAAATTTTAAATTTCTAATTGAATGTTCTATTTTCATAGCAAGGTTTTCCCAGGATCATCCGTTTTTGAAGTAGCTTTCCGGGAAATCTGTGACGGTGCTCAATACACACTCTCAGATGTCCAAGTTTAAGGACTCAGGATCATCCTTGATGGGCTGATTTTTTTGTACCTCATAAGTGGCAGCCCCCTTTCACAGCCTTTTCCTCTCTGCTAAATATTTTTGTTCTGATACATTTCAGTGACATCCTTCGTGCTGACACTTTTTTTTTTAAGAACAAAAAAAGTAAAGGATTCTTTTGAAATGAGTATTGTTACTCTTTTGCACTGGTCTCAGAAATTCCTCATGCCAATGCCATATCACAGAATTTAAGGAGATATGTCTGCAATGATTCTAACCAATGAGGTTTACAGGTTAGAGACAAGGTGGGTGAAGGAGTATCTTTTATTGGACCAACTTCTATTCACCAAATAAAAGATATTAGCTCACCCACCTTGTCTCTCCAATATCCCGGGACTGACAGGGCTACAAACACCCTGCACGCAGCTTTACATTGGCACATTCCCACAACACCGAACATTTTTCTAAGGTTATTGTTAATAACAATATTACTGCCCACCTTTCCCTCAACCTCAGAGCTCCCCACCCAGGTGCTCCCCTTCTCACAGCCCCTCCCGCCCCCCTCCAAATACCCTGGTTTTGTTTATTGGGGGCGGGGGGTCAATTTGAAATTTTAGTGCAAGTGCAACTCTTACTTCTCTGTTCCCGGGGCGGCCGCTCTCCCGGGGCTGGCTCGGCTCCTGCAGGCGCTCAGGGGGGCAGAGCCTGGGTGGAGGGGCGCAGTCAGGGAGGGCAGCAGCTCTGGGACTCGCAGACCCCCGCCGGGAGCTGAGCTGGGGCGAGGCGGGGCCGTTGGTGCAGAGTCACTTTCCTGCCCGGCCCCAGCCCTTCCCCCGGGTCTCCCCCCTCACCTGCAGGCTCCGGCTCAGGGGCTGGTGTCGGCAGAGCCCAGGGCTGCCCCAGGGGCTGGTTCCAGCCCCCGCAGAAAGTCCCCCCGGCTGGGCCCCGAGGGGCGCTAGGAAAGGCTCTCCCCGCACACACCCCGCTGGGGAGCAGCAGTAGATTAATCCCGGGGTCACAATGGAGCCTGGAGGCGGCCAGCAGCAGCGTCTGACCCAGGAAGCTCAACCCACAATCTGCTGAGGAGCAGTAACAGCTGCTGAAGCCTCTGCCCTTTACCATCAGACTTCTGCTCCTTGCAATAGGGAGAGATGTAAAGGACGGGGATGTCGGAGGGGAGGCACGGGCACAGTGTGGGCAGGGGAAGGAGAGGGGCAGACAGAGAGACGCAGCTGGGGTTAAAAAAGGGGGAGATGATCTCAACCCCCTCTGCCCCAGAGCTGGGTGTTACAGGTGCTGTGTGTGCACCCCAATGCTTAGACAAGGCAGAAATGGTGTACTAAATTGCTAAAGGAGACTGGAGTCCGTGAAATATTTTAGACTCGCTCATAAAGATCATGGGGTTTTTAATCACATATATTCTGGTGTTGAAAAGAATTCCATGTCAGTTTACGAACATGTAACATGCAGATGCAGACAGCCTCAGAGCAGTTCCCTACCTTGGCTTATCTGCTGTTCTGACTGCCTGAATTGGGCTTCCTTTCCTGTAATCCACTGCAAATGTGGTTTTCACTCCTTTTAATTATTTATTTAAAATATATACTTATGACTCTTATTGCTTTTAATACTCCATCATTTACTTTAGTTTACGTTTTGCAGATGGATGTCATTTTGCTACCTTGCTTTTATAGTGTCAATGCTCCAGGCGAAGCTAGAGTACCTCTCTAGGGCGCAAACCTGGGCAAATGATATGGAGGTCCAGAGTTGCCCATGCATCAGGACCCCCCTATTGGTATCACTGGTAAAATCCAGAGGAGAGGAAGAACCAATATATCTGGTAACCGATCCACTGCAGGAGTTGCCAGAAAGATATTAAGATGTTAGTGCCTGACCACCTTTGGGGTTCCACTCCAGATTTTCTCTCCGAGTTTACTCTCATATCCTTACATTTTCCCGAATTCACCCACAAGGCAGTGGGGCTTTTCTCTCAGGGGTTGCTCTGTTTGCGTTATGCTCTCCTGGGCGACCCACAAAGCAGTGGATTTGATGAGCCGCAGGTAATACTGTCTACTCTCATTACGGTAGTAGGCATAGCCTAATCTGAAACAACAGATATTTAGAATCTTTTACAAGTAACTTATTTTGGCCTGACAGAATTTCAGTAGGTGGTCTAAGGTTCACATTCCAGCTCATCTGGCTCCTTCTGGCTGCCTGGCACTAGGCAGGCCATTTCTCATGATGGAGACAATGAAGACCCATTAGTGTCATGGCAGATCCCGCAGTGCAAGCAGAGGATGGTAGCAGCCATGATGGAGTGAGTGTGTGATGGGTTTTCCCCAGGATGCCACCTGGAACTGGGGTAACACTGCACCCCCTGATCCACCAGCCTGGGCTCTCTCTCACACTGTACTGCTGTTACAAATTACATACACATAGGGACAACCCAGCTGCAGTTACAAGCAGGCTCTCTGACCAGCTCCTGCATGGGAAAGCTACTCCCAGCTCCTCAGGCATGCACCCCCTCTGGTGTATAAACCCAAAATTATACTGTCTTGCGCTGCACAGGGAATTGTACAGTGTACGCTCATAAAATTCGCCCCTGCCCTCAATGTGGAGAGGAATATGCAACAGCCTGCTGCCCCTGAGTTATGATTCCCACACACTGGTTTAGATAAAGCAAAAACAAGTTTATTAACTACAAAAGATAGATTGAAAGTGATTATAAGGGATAGCAATCAAATCAAAGCAGATTACCTAGCAAGTAAACAAAACATGCAAACTAAGCTTAATATACTAAATAGATTGGATATGAATAGAAGATTCTCACCCTAAGAGATGATACAAGCAGGCTGCAGATTCTTAAGGGGCAAGCTGCACTTGCTTTACAGCTTGGAATCCCCAGGTGTTCCATTCAAAGGCTAAAAATCCCTTTAGACTGGGTCCAGCACTTTTCCCAGTTCAGTCTTTGTTTCTCAGGTGTTTCCAGGAGGCTTCTTGTGTGGGGAGTGAAGAACACCAGATGATTATATAGCTTTTGCATATGGCAGGAACCCTTTGTTCCCAAAGCTTGGTTCCCAGACTGATCTGTGGAAAAACACTGATGTCCCAAGATGGAGTCTAGAGACGTATGGTCACATCACATGTCTTGCAGAGTCATAGCAGCCATTATTCACAGACTGTCTGTAGCATTCTCAGGAAGGCTTCCCAAGTGAGAGATAAGCTCCTACTAAGGCTTATTTGTTTTCTTAATGGCTCATTGTCCTGAACAGGCCCTTCCCCACCCACTACCTAAACTGAATACATCTTGTCTAGTGGGTGGGGAAGGATGTACCCAGGTGTAACTACATTTGAAATACAGATACATAGTCAATATTCATAACTTCACATACACGTCTACAAATAGGATAATCATATTCTGCAAATCATAACTTTTCCAATGACATCTCACATGACTTATCTTGCATAGAATGCATCATAATTATGTCAGAATCATAACAATAGTATCACTGCAAAGAATATGGGGCGCAGTGTCACAGAGTGCTCTGTCCAGTTCACTCACCCTGTCTAGCTATGCAGTGACCCCCACTGTAAGCAACATATACAAAGTGGTGGAACCCTTGACCCATTTAAAGTAACCAATTAGTCTACTTTTTTGCTGATCTTAATTGAAAAGATCTCTATCACCTTGGCTTCTACCTGCTCACTAACCACATGTGATGTGAACCTTATTCTTTATGATCTGGGGGTCCCTCAAGAAAATTTACCTTAGAAATTCAGTACTGTGACAGGATTCCCGGGATGCAGCCTTGGACTGTCGGATGGCTGTGCCGCCACTGAACTCTCTCTAGCCTGGGCTGTCTCTCACAATACCTTGCTAATGACCAGCAGCAACCCCTCCAGGTGCTGTTATCACTCAGCACAACCACATGTGGAGACCCCACACCCAGCTAGATTGCATGAATGCTCCCAGATCAGCTCATGAATCACACAGAGAAAGGCACCAGAGACAAATCACCCCAGCTCCCAGCACTGTACCTTGGGAATATATCATCTAATTTATTAATTGGTTCACCACTTCACCGATGGAAAGTGGATATACACCAGCCTTTGATACTTGAGCAATTTACCATTCACTTCAGGCAAACTCACTGGTAAAGATAAACAGTAAAACAAATCTATTGACTATAAAAGATAGATTTTAAGTGGTATTAAGTGATAGGCAAAAAGTCAGAGTTAGTTACCAAAAGAAATAAAATATAACCACACAGTCTAAACTCTCAACCCCGTTAGACTGGGAAACATCTAGATCAGGCAGTTTACTCACCCCACTAGATATTGCAATCCATTGTATATAGATTTCACCTTTGAAATCTGGGCCAGTCCCCATAGTTGGAGTCTCAAGTCTTCAGCATCCTTGTTGCTTGCAGTGTAGGTAGGTGAAGGAGAAAGTCTCAGCATGTGGCCACTGTGTTCTGTTTTATACCCTCAGACCCATGTGTTTGGGGAGCACAAATCCAGGCATGTCTGAGGACCTCACTGAGTCTCCAGGGCCAGGCTGAGTAATTCCCCTGGTGTGGTCTCATGTAGGTGAGTCATTGAATTGTAACTCTCTTGCTAGACAATGGCTGGTGATTTCTGCTCAACAGCAGCCACCCGGGTGTTGGTTACCTCCCTTATCATTGTCTCTGTAGAGTCAGTATCTCGGCTCCTCTCAAACCCACAGCATTTTTAGTGACAACTGTATAACATAATCTCATAACTTCATTATATATTTAGATGAAACAGTGACTTTCAGCAGCTCATAACCTTTCCCCAATACCTTACAAGGCATGCTTTATATGTAATATCACAGCTATATACAGGAATATGAGGGCTACAGGGAGCTCCCCCAAGGTATAGAGTGTCACACCCAGCATTGCCCCTTACGCATCTGTCAAGTGAGGATGGCGATGCTGATGAGTCCATGACTGCAAAGTGGTGATCCTACAGTCCAGTAGGGTGTAATAAAAATGTTTTCAGCTCAGTTAACATGCTGTGATGTCATTAATTGATTCCTCAACAAGCCACAGGCAGCCACAGAAAAGGCAGAATAAGTAGGCAAAGGAAAGCAAGATACTCTGTTACTGTCAGAGGGAGATGAGTGGTTCTAAAGTGGTGGTGTCAGGCCCAAGCTGATCTCCTTCAAGGTGGGACAACCTTGTCCACAATCAGTCAGGCCTTGTCTGCACGAGAACATTGCTCTGCCAAGTATTGTCAAAGTAAGCGATGCCACCCCTTTAATGTGGATGCACTTCTCTCATCTCAAGTTGCTTTATTTCAGTATATATGGTATATACAGAAAGGGGATTAACTACTGGGATGTAAGGCACCTTTATAGTGGTACAACGGAATCCATACTACGGCTTTCCCCATTCAAACTATTTCATTTTAAAATCACATCCCTAACTAAATTAGTGATACCATGACAACTTTCCAGTGCAGACCAGGCCTTGTCAGGCTGAGGCTGGGAAGCTGGAAACAGGGTCTTTTGACAGGCAAAGTTTCCCTTTCTCTCCCAGAAGCAGGATTAGCTGAGGTAGCATGAGACAAGCAGGCAGGTGCTACATCTAGGTTGGCTAAGGTGCAGTATCAGAGCCTGAAAGACAACCTTGATTGTCTAGACACCCAGAGACCCACAATTTAGAGCATAAGGTAAGAAACCCAAAACGTATTGATGATGGACACCAACAAACAGAACAACAACAACGACAGAAAAAGCAAAACCTTCATCTCATCCCTTCCCTCTCTCTCACTATTCATGTCTTGTCATTGGCTGTCAAGATAATCATGGAAGAATCCAGGAGTCCTTCCCAAAACACTAGCAATGATTGAGACTTTGACTTGTCTGAGAAATGTTCAGGTTGTATATAGTCTGTAAACTGTCCATGCACCTATCAATAGAATCCTCTTTATCCAAACATCCAGTAAAGGCATCTGAGTACATCAGGCTCAAACAGTGTGACTGGTCTAGGTAATAATGACTCCCCAAGTTGTCCTAGGAATTCCCATAG